CCCTCCGCCTCCTGTGCAGAGGTGCAGCCAGGTGGCTCTGCTGTGTGCTGCCCTGTCTACAGGCACTACCCCTGCAGTTCCCACTGGTCACGGTTCCTGGCCAATGGGAGCTGCAGGTCGGTGCTTGGGGTGGGGGCAGTGTGTGGAGTGGAGCACCCTGGCTGCCTCTATGCGTAGGAGCTGGAGGGGGGACATGCCGCTGCTTCCGGGAGCCGTGCAGAGCGGCCCCTGACCCTGCTCCCTGGCTGAAGCACCGGAGCTGGGCAAGCCCCAGACTTTGCTCCCCAGTGGAAGCTTGAGGGCCGGATTAAAACAGCTGGTGGGCTGGATGCAGCCCGTGGGCCGTAGTTTGCCCACTCCCTGTTCTATACGATATGCTTTAGACTGGTTTCACTCAGGGTTTTAGAAGATAAGAATGGCCATACTGGGTCAGACCAATGATCCATCTATCACAGTGGTGCCACATGCTCGTTCAGAGGGAATGAACAGAACAGGGCAATACTGAGTGATCCGTCCCCTGTCATCCAGTCTCAGCTTCTGGTAGTCAGTGGTTTAGACACACCTGGAGCACGGGCTTGCATCCCTGACAATGTTGGCTAATAGCCATTGATCCTCCACACATTTCTCTTAATTTTTTTTTAATCCGGTTGTACTTTTGGCCTTCACAACAGCCCCTGTTTCCAAAGTTTGAATGTGCGTTGTATGAATACTTTCTTTTGTTTGTATTAAACCTGCTGCCTATTAATTTCTTTGGTTCTTTGTTATGCAAAGGGGTACATAGCACTTCCTTGTTCATTTTCTCTGTACCATTCATGATCTTGTAAATCTCTATCATATCCACCCTTAATTGTCTCTTTTCCAAGCTGAAGATTACAATCTTTTTAATCTCTCCTTATGGAATCTGTTCCATACTTCTAATTTTTGTTGGCCTTCTCTACCCCCCTTCCTATTCTAATGTATCTTCTTTGAGATGAAGTGATCAGAACTGTATGCAGTGTTCAAGATGTGGGTGTGCCATGGATTTATATAGTGACATTATGATATTTTCTGTTTTATCTATCCCTTTGCTAGTGGTTCCTAATGTTCTGTTAGCTTCTTTGACTGCTGCTGCACATTGAGCAGATGTTTTCAGGGAACTATCTACTCCAAGATCTTTCTTGAATGGTAACAGCTAATTTAGGTCCCATCATTTGGTAAATGTAGTTGAGATTATTTTTCCAATGTGCATTACTTTGAACTAATCAACACTGAATATCTGGTCCTGCGTAATTTATCAGTTTGTTCCGGAACCTTCAATACTGACACCTCAATCTGGGACAGGTCCTCAGATTTGTCACCTAAAAAGAATAGCTTGGGTGTAGGGAATCTCCCTTAGATCTTCTGCAGTGAAGGCAGGTTCAGAGAATTAGGTTAGCTTATCTGCAACAGCCTTATCTTCCTTGAGTGCTCCTTTAGAACCTCAATTGTCCAGGGGCCCCACTGATTGTTTGGCAGGCTTCCTGCTTCTGAAGTACTACATTGTTTTGCTGTTAGTTTTTGTGTCTTTAGCTAGCTGCTCTTCAAATACTTTCTTGCTCAGCCTTCTTATACTTGACTTGCCAGAGTTTATGCTCCTTTCTATTTTCCTCAGTAGGATTTGACTTTCAATTTTTAAAGGATGCCCTTTTCCCTCTAACTGCCTCTTTTACTCTGTTTTTTAGCCATGGTGGCATTTTCTGGTCTTGTATATTCCAAATAGGGTTGTCAAGCAATTAAAAAAATTAATTGTTCGATTAATTGCCTCTTAAACAATAATAGAATACCATTTATTTAAATATTTTTGGGTGTTTTCTACATTTTCAAATATATTTCAATTACAACACAGAATACAAAGTGTACAGTGCTCACTTTATATTTCTTTTTATTACAAATATTTGCACTGTGTAAAAAAAAAAATAGTATTTTTCAATTAACCTAATACAAGTACTGTTGTGCAATCTCTTTATCATGAAAGTTGAACTTACAAATATAGAATTATGTACACTGCATTCAAAAATAAAACATTGTAAAACTTTAGAGCCTACAAGTCCAATCAGTCCTCCTCCTTGTTCAGCCAATCACTTCTACAACCAAGTTTGTTAACATTTGCAGAAGATAATGCTGCCTGCTTCTTGTTTACAATGTCACCTGAAAGCGAAAACGGGCATTTACATGGCACTGTTGTATCCAGCGTCGCAAGATATTTACATGACAGATGTGCTAAAGAGTCTTATGTCCCTTGATGCTTCAACTATCATTCCACAGGACGTGTCCATGCTGATGACAATTTCTGTTCGATAACGATCCAAAGCAGTGCAGACCGACGCATGTTCATTTTTATCATCTGAGTCAGATGCCACCAGCAGAAGGTTGTTTTTCTTTTTTGGGGGTTTGGGTTCTGTAGTTTCTGCATCAGTGTTGCTCTTTTAAGACTTCTGAAAGCCTGCTCCACACCTCGTCCCTCTCAGATTTTTGAAGGCACTTCAGATTCTTAAACCTTGGGCCGAGTGCTGTAGCTATCTTCAGAAATTTCACATTGGTACCTTCTTTGCATTTTGTCAAATTTGCAGTGAAAGCGTTCTTAAAACGAACATGTGCTGGGTCATCATCCAAGACTGCTATAACATGAAATATATGGCAAGTAAAACAGAGCAGGAGACATACAATTTTCGCCCAAAGAGTCCACTCACAAATTTAATTAACACATTATTTTTTTAAATGAGCATCATCAGCATGGAAGCATGTCCTCTGGAACGAAGGCTGAACCATGAAGAAGCATATGAATCTTTAGTGCATCTTGCGACGCCAGCTACAACAGTGCCATGCGAATGCCTGTTCTCACTTTCAGGTGACATTGTAATTAAGTGGGCAGCTTTATCTCCCATAAATGTTAACAAACTTGTTTCTCTTAGTGATTGGCTGAACAAGAAGTAGGACTGAGTGATCTTATAGGCCTTCCTGCATTTGCTCCTCTTTTCTCAAAAGGTGCCCCAGTTCCTAATAAATCTAAAGCCCTCCTCCCTCCATCATTGCCTCATTTTCGCATTGAGACCCTGCAGTTCTGCCTGTCTTCCTGGCCCTACACCTGGAACTGGAAGCATTTCAGAGAATGCTACCATGAAGGTCCTGGTCTTTGGTTTCTTACCTAGCAGCCTAAATTTGGCTTCCAGGACCTCTCTCCTATCTTTCCCTATGTCATTGGTACCTACATGTACCATGACCACCGGCTTCTCCCCAGCACAGCACATAAGGCGGTCTAGATGTCTTGTGAGATCTGCAACCTTTGCCCCCAGCAGGCAGTTCACCATATGGTTCTTCCTGTAATCACAAACCCAACTCTGTTTCTAATAATTGGATCTCCCATTACTGTTACCTTTCTCAGCCTAGTAACTGGGTTCCCCTCCTGTGGAGGGGTATCTTCAGTGTGAGAGGATACCAGGACATCATCTGGAAGAAGGGTCTCAACTATGGGATTGTTTCCCTCCGTTCCAGCTTGATGCTCTCCTTCCCCAAGACACTCATTCTCTTTAACAGCACAGAGGCCGTCAGTCTAGGGTGGAACTGCTCTTCTGTATCCCTGAAAGTTTCCTCTATGTACCTCTGTCTTCCTTAGCTCCTCCAGTTCAGCCACTCTGGTCTCAAGAGCCTGTACTATGTCTCTGAGGACCATGAGTTGCTTGCACTGAATGCACACATGCACCTCCTACTCACAAGGCAGGTACCCGGACATGCTGCATTCAGTGCAATAAACTGTATACCGCCCACTCTGCTGCTGGACTCTGCCTGTGTTATTTTTTTCTTGCGTAGGTGGGTTTGGTTTAGTTGGGTTGGATTGGGTTTGGTTAGGTTATGGGGATATTATTGGACTAAATTTAGAATATGTTTGTTAGATGTTTCTTCCTCTCCCACTCCCTCTCTAACATCCACTGTTTCCTGTTTCTGTTCGTTGGCTCGTCTTCATTATTATCCCCTGCTGATTCAAACTAAGCCTCTTTTTAAAAACTCCATTTCTCTCCAACAGGTTGGCTTGTGAGTCACTTTCAAATATTTTTTTAAACTCTCCCGAGTGTCTGCGTATACTAGTAGATTTTTATAGAAAAGTTTGAACTGCCTGGTCCTGGAGCAGCTTCTAGGTCTGTATTTGTGAGGCAGTAACAAAGCATTAGGTCCTGTCCTACAATCAAGACAAAATGTCTTTTGCCAATTGCAAGCACTCAAGCTGTGTTTTATGTTACTGCACAGTCTACTCTGGCTTGGTTGGCAAATTAAACGATTGCTTGCTTTTCCCAGCAAAAATAACTGCCTTGAAACTGTCTGTCTGTAGCTGTAAAGTTCAGATCCAATCTCTTCCTCCGCCTCCCCCCATCACCATGATCGGATTGCTAACAGCCAGGATGTTCATACTGAGGTTCAACCTCAAGCATGCTCAGCAGTGTGCTTCTCTGTGGTCAGTATTTGTATTGCCGACAACTAGGCCCATACCCTTCCTCTCACTGGCATGCCAGCAGACAGCATTCTGCCACCTCTTTTGAGTGGTAGCTTAGTTATGTTGCTCTGCCCAGCCCCTTCTTCTTCCTATCCGTCAGGCACCCCAGTTCCATTCCCACTCAGCCCTTCCCCTCTAGCTGGTATCTCATCTCTCCCTCTGCTCTCCCTCTTCGAACTGATAACTTTATTCTGTTCTCTGCTCAGCCCTGTCTCTCTCTGCCCCGACGCACCTAAGTTCTCTTGGTTCTATTCCCACTCTGCCCCTCGGACTGGCTGCTCACTTGCTGGGACTGATGTCACGCAACCTGCTCTCATCCTCCCCTGTTGTCTTTGTCTGGTGGTCAGGGAGCCTGATGGCACAACTTCTTGTCCTGGGCTTCCGAGCAATGTGTTTTTCCAGCTTGCTCCCGAGGAGATGTGCAGCTGGATGGCTGTAAAGCCAAGCTGATGATGCTCCTGTTGCTCCTCTTATGCACTCTCTTTCCCCTTTCCAGCTTCCTATCCTGCATACGGTGCCTTTGCTGAAGTGCTGCACATGGTGGACCTGAGAAACCCCCAGGACGCATTCCGGGATGGCAGCTAGGTGACGACAGCTGAGGATGACCCTGACTGAAAAGCTGCGCGAGAAGATATCGCGGGCGTTCTACAACCACGGGCTGCTGTGTGCTTCATACCCCATTCCCATCATCCTCTTCACTGGCCTCTGTATCCTGGCCTGCTGGTAAGTGCTGCAGAATACTTGTCTGCACAGGTCATTGCTCAGGTTCTTTCTCTGAGCATGCACACTGTGGAACGTGCTGTCCCTGAAGTGTTTGGTTTAACGTAGGAGCTTCCAGTCATTGTCATGCTGAGGAGCAAAATGGGAAGCCAGGGACAAAATACCTTGATGTGTAAAAGCAGACCAACTAATGGTCAACTCTGGAACCAGAAATAGGAGGCCGGGAAGGGGGAATGGTGGTCTTCCCCTCCTACCTACACAATATTCAGCCTAAACTACTGTGCCTGGAACTTCGTCATCTTCTTCTTATCCAGCCCAACCCTAGCTCATCTGCCCAGTTCTTGTTCTTGTAACTCCTGATCGCTTGGCTCTTCCTCTGAAAATAGGGACTCAGATGGGGAGTGGGGTGCACTTACTATTACTGGATAATGGGGGATGTTGGGCTGGTTCGTAAGAGGCCATTATTATTTAGACTGGGGTCTTGGGGACTGTGGCAGTTGGGACAGGGGACCCTGTTGTGCTAAGCACTGTGCAAAGACACATTAATAGCTTCTGCTTTGAAGAGCTTATACTCCTAAATACCTGCCTAAAATGATCAACATTAACTAAAGGGTGGAAGTTGATCTGTTATGACCTGCCTCTTCTCCTCTCCAAATCCCTGCTTTTAGGGGGCCTCCAAACTGTGTTAAAATAGATGATAAAGAAATGCCCCTTGAGCACTGGTCTTCTACTTGCTGTAGGGCAGCTTCCTCCATATGCATAACACTACAAGGAAGTGATATTATTTACTATTTCTGTAGTTCCCGGCACCACCTTGTTTAAAGAGAAATTTCCAAAAATGTGTTGGACAGCTGCTGAAGAGTGTGAAATAAAAGGGGCCTTTCTCCGTGTTTGGCAATGTCCCGTGGCAGGGGAATGTTGGCCCTAGGATTAAAAACCTCCTAATGGATATTACTGATGTATCCATTACTAATAGGTCTGGGTCTCCATTTGAGAACACAGAAATCCAGGAGAGGGGAGTCTACATCCCAAGATTTTTGAGTGGAGGCCCTGGGTTGCATCCCCATCAATGGACCCATGTGCATCCAGGTCCAGATCTAGCAAAGATCCTGGACCCTTATTCCAGATGGCGATCAATAGGCTGTAGCTATGATCACGTGCTTTTTTCTATGGGCAAAATCATGAGTGAAGTTCTGTTCATAATGTTCTCCAGGGCAGTTTAACAAAAGTGAGCTGGGTTGGCCCCATGTTGTCCAGGAGTGTCTAGGTTCTCACCTCCAATTCAGATGGCAAGCACCGCTCAGATATTCCTTCTCTTCAAGAAGGCTCTATTCTCAAAACCCAAATTCCACAGCCAAGCCCAGAGTAATCTAGCTACAGGATATTTAAGAGGTACCAGTTACAAACACATCCAAATAATCTCTTTTATTATACCTTTAGCCTTGAGAAAGTATGCCATAAACAGGGCATCTTTAAGGGCCTGGTCTGTAGGGAAGGCATAGTAGTGCTAAGTCATTAGAATGGATTGATCTACTCAAGGCAAGGGTAAAGCATATCTTTTTGGAGTTCTTACAGTAAAGTTTTTTAATAAAGGCCTAAGACCTTTGACTGATGACCATTTGGTAGGCATTGCCAGCTCACTAGAGACTGCAAATGGACATGGGATTGTCCTCTCACTCAGACATAAAATTCCTTAGAGCTGCCTTACTTCTCAACTCTACACCAGTGAGGAAAACTCCCTGCTGGGAACTAAAACTTGTTTCAAATGTCCTGACTAGGGAACCCTTTGATCCCTTATAAGAAGTGCCATTAGATTTTCTAGCTTCAAAGGTTGTCATCCTGACTTCAATCAATTGGGCATGGTGTGGTTTTTTTTTGGGAACTTAAGGTCATATGGGGAGTTGCAATCCTGCATATCTCATGAAGGCAAATTTTGCTAAGAGTTAACATAGCCTTCATTCCCCAGATAAATCTGGTTACAATAAAGTGTTTTCTTCCAGCCTTCTTGCCTAATATGCAAAACACACTTAATAAATTTAAACAACCAAACAGAAATGAGCACATCTCTGGCATGGTCTGTCAGCTCTTAAAACAAACAAACAAACAAAAAACTTGCATCTGAAGAAGTGAGGTTCTTACCCACGAAAGCTTATGCTCCCAATACTTCTGTTAGTCTTAAAGGTGCCACAGGACCCTCTGTTGCTTTTTAAAAAAAACCTCACCACCATTGAATGCAGTACTAAATTCAATCAGTCTCTAGATTTGTTGGTCTAGAACACCCATCATAAACTAAATGAAGCTACCAAGGCTTCAGTTATTAGATGGCTAAATTGTTGCTTTCAAGAAGCTTTCCAAGCTTGAAGCCATCTTTCTCCTCAAACGCTCATGTTCGTGAAGCCTCCTGTCCTGAAGGACCATATGAAACATATAAAGAGATGTTGGGTGGTCACCTAGTCATGGAAACATGCTTCCACACTTTCGCCAAATGTTACAAATTAAACTTGCACGCCTCATCAGCCCCTGCTGTGGAGGAGGGCTCTGCCTACTATGCTCACCCATTAACTGATATATAGTTAGATGCAGTTTTGGGGGATTTGTAATCTTCTCATCCATCTTTTGTTTCCCTCTCTGGTGAGACACTTGCTGTTGGACATGCCAGTCTGGTGGATCTGGAGACTATCCCTGCAAAGAATAGCAAAATTCCTTAACTGGCCTGAAGATGTCCTTTCTTCTAGTAGGAAAGTCTGCAAATCAAACCCACCTGGCACAAGGACTAAAGTTTAAAGGAATTAGCTCGAACTGGCTGTGGCTTCATAGGTTGTGGCTGTTTCAGCCTGACTTGATTGATAGGTCTGGTTCTGCCTCCACGGAACTCGAAGCAAGGTTAAGACCCATTGTAATGGATCTGTGGACTTTCCTGCTAGAGAAGAAAGGACTTTTTCAGGTGAATTGAGAAATTTTTGTATTTTACTCAATTGCTAATCTGACTTCAGCTGTTTTTAACTCTTGGAGCTAAGCTACTTTATGTTCCCAATACCCAAAGGGACTGCAGTCTCCTGGGGGAGTGACTGATAAAATTAGAAGCAAATACGCTGCGGAATGGGACTACCCTGGTCTGTTTCCAAAATAAACCCAAACTGGTGGTATGGAGATAAAAATATGAAAATCTTTGTCCCCATGATGCACATTTGTTTTTTGGGGGTCCTGAGAGCAGGGCACAGTCGTGAAGTCCTCAGTGGAATGCAAACAGTACTCATTCATCATTCAGAAACTGGCATCTCACCATTATTAGCCTAGGTTTGTGCATTTACCAGAGTTAAGCAGTGAGCCACTGTTGCCAGCAGCTGGCTGTGAACCAGACCATCCCTTGCCATTGCCACCCCTGCCCACGGATAATTACTGGCCTAGAAAACGAAAACCTGGTTAACCAAAAACCATATAGATCACGTGCGTCTTGCACTGCTCCCTGAATCCTGTCAAGCTCTTTTAGGACCACAAGTGGGAATGAATTGAAATGTAGAGTGTCCTCAGCCTTGTTTCTCTTGGGCAACAGGCAGCAAGAACACTTCAGCCAGTGGAATCTCTCACTGGACCCAGGTGGTGAGGTTGTGCTGTTTTCCCTGTCTCAGCCAGACTGAGGATTGGCTCAGAGCTCTTCTAAGGCATATATTATTATGATACCTGTGTGTGCACAGGGTGGTGGTAACTAGTAGGTTCCCTCCTGTAAGGGCTGGCAGGTCTCCATCCTTCTTTGGCTTATTCATTAGCAGAGGGTCCCTCTGGGATAACGTGGAGGTGGTGCTGCTGAGTTGGGGAAACCTCAGGAGTAGATGGCGGAGGTGACTTCTGCTCTTCTGATTCAGTGTTTTGAAGAAGGCTTGCAACTGTAGGGTTGGCAGTTCTGCTGGCTCCTCGGCTGCTCTTAGCTCAACTGGCAGTTCTCCAGCCTGCCTCTCTATGCTGTGTTGAAAAGATGGAAAAACAAATGGGACATAAATATATTTGCTTGGACTGCATCATACTGTATCTCAATTACTTGAGTTCAGCAGTAATCGAAACCTGCAGATGACCACTTCTTATCTCTGTGCTGCGGTTACAGAATGCCCGTAAGCTGTGTTTTGGGCACTCGGTCTCTAGAAAGGACCTTTCTCAGAACCATGGCTGCTTCTTAGAGCTTCCTGTTTTCTAGAGTTGTCATTGATTCAGAACCCTACTCTCTTCCTCCCCACCTCCATCTTTTCCATTCCTGCCTGGCAGCTAGTGTTCAGGAATGCTCACTGGAACCTTTTTGCTCTCTAAATTTCAGCTTTGTTTTCCTCAGTCTTTCCTTCCCACCTGAGCTCCATTTCCTCCAATCTCTTCTAACTCATTCTAGAGCAGTTTGGAGTCATGTGGTGCACACCATCTTAACAATGAACTAATCTCGTCAGGTTTCTGAGTTGTCACAGTGCCTGGCCACTTGGGGAAAGCTGGAATCCCTCTGGCAGCTCAGCTGCAGCGCTTGGTTTATTTTAAACATCTCTTTTGTTTCCATAGGTGCTATGTTGTTTGCTTCTGAAGTAGTGGCTCTGGTGAATTTCTCAGTGTCACTGCACTGCTGTCTCCCAATTCCTTTCTTCTCTTCCCACTGCCAACTTACCTCTGTCGGTGGCCACCAGAGCTGTTGCTGTATTAGGCCTGTCCATATTAATGCTGAAACCCACCTAACCTTGTTAGCATCTTCTTTGAAGCCTGTTATCGGGGTAGCCTTGAACAGGGCCATAAAATAACACTCAGATTCTATGGCTTTGATCTGATCTCAGAGCCTTTAATCCTCACAATACCCCTGTGATATAGGTAAGTATTCTCTCCCCCGAAAATTGATGCAAGTTGCAACCACCCCAAAAGGAGTCTGAGGCAGGACTGGGGATAGAATCCAGGAGTCCTAACTCTCATTCCCCGGCTTTGCCTGCTAGAGAATGCTCTTTTCCTTTCTTGCCTTACACTGACACTCTAAGTTAGTC